TTTTCCGGGGGCGGGTCAAACCAACCCTTGGTCGGCTTGTTAAGTTGTTTATTATCGGAGCCGCCACATTACATAGCAATTTAAATAAAACCTGCAAACTCTTGGGGGGGGGGGAATGCCCCCTGCGCTACCCAAATGACAATCCTGATTGCAGGATTTCCCCTTCAGGGAACAATAATCTAGCACTAGGTACGCACCGCTCTATAACGATAATATATGACGTGGGTGGAAGGCCCCATTGTATCTGTAGAGATAGTTTCCCCAGGAAGCAATATTACTTAATCAATAAAATATATACCTGTTTCTTTTTTCTTCTTTTTCTTTGGACGGTTCTATGGTAACACAATTGTGATAAGAGGGGGAGGGTGGGGGGGGGGCTGACAGGAATTAACCATGGTTACAAGGCAGGGTTGGTGGAGAGTTGGGAAGTAATAAATGGCATGCACTCGCTGTGTCTGTTTGTCATGACGTCACGATCCCGTCAAGGGGGTGCTGCCCCCACACAGTAAACGGGTGGTAACGGAATAATGTCGTGTCTTTAAACGTGAACGATCCAGTTATGAAAAGAATAATCAACAACACAATAAGTGAAAGAAGAAAGCAAGAAAAGAAAGTGATATTTCCTTTATAATGCCTACTAATGCCTACCAGGGCCTTCCATGAAGAGCTTAATCAAAAGACTTGAGTAGCATACCCATATGCCTGCAGCTACACCAGCAAAACGACCCCCGGGGGGGGGGGCCAAGAGGCGATCAGCCACCACAGATGGTACAGAAGTGGTCGAGTCTTCAGGTCGTCGGGGGAGAGGGGGGGGGGCTAGGATTACTCGGTTGGGGGGTTAGGATAATCCGGGTAAGGGGTATGATAAGTGGTTTATTTTTTACTATTATTTTTTTGGGGGGGGTGGGTGGGTCAGTTTGATCAGCGGTACAAGGTAATTTTTTAACTGTGACATAGGCGATCAGCCACCACAGATGGTACAGAAGTGGTCGAGTCTTCAGGTCGTCGGGGGAGAGGGGGGGGGGCTAGGATTACTCGGTTGGGGGGTTAGGATAATCCGGGTAAGGGGTATGATAAGTCGTTTATTTATTACTATTATTTTTTTGGGGTGGGTGGGTGGGTCAGTTTGATCAGCGGTACAAGGTAATTTTTTAACTGTGACATGGTGGTCAGTGAAAACAGTACTGTCGTTGGTTCGGTAAAGATCTCGATATGTGGTCCCCACTGTTGGGCCACTCCTCCATGTTCCCAGAGATGGTTCAGTTTCCTGCTATCTTTGGTCTCTCTCTCTCTCTCTCTCTCTCTCTCTCTCTCTCTCTCTATCCCTCTCTCTGCTAAAATGCCGGTTTAGGGCCTCGGCACTTTTGGCATCTGTGGTAGCCGTGCCCATCTACGCCTGCAAGGGTCCTGGTGTCCACTGGTCCACCAAACTTTTTGTCAACCTGTCCGCCATACGGCCATACTGACTGACAAGTTTATGAAATACTGATCTAAATGACCTGGGACAATAAACAGAATCTTGAAAGTCCCCCCTCTCCTCCCTTCACCAGGGCCTACACGCACGCACGCACACACACACACACAAACATCATTAATTAAAAAAAAAATAGATCGATTTAACGTCACTAATAGGTTTGTAAAGAAATAATTAATTCAATCTAACTCTACCGTTACACACTGTCTGAAGTATTCCCGAATTTTATCGTAGCTGACAGTGGAGGCGGGTCGGTGTGTGTGTGTGGAAGGGGGGGGGGTGAGGCGGGGGCTGCTGTTCCATCTTTACTCTTATGGCCAACTGTTTTCTCCCCCACTCCACGGTATCTGAACTGTCCATCGTTTCGAATCACTTACATTCTTATCGCGCATCTCTAACACATACACTAACGAAACTAATCCCATGGTCTCAGCGGCGATGACCCAGCATGATTGACATCTGGATGAATTGTACGGAAATTTAACACTAGCATTCAGGAAATCATAACAGGTTTATACATTTTTATTTTTAATTTTGAACTGTATCATTTTCCCCCAGATATATAAACGGAAATCAGAATACAAAGTTGTTTTTTTTTGGTGTATGCCTAAGTCAAGGAACTAGGACGAGTGGCATGCGTGTCTTGACTTAATTACGCCCGGGGCGAACTCACATCATACAACATTTGTATAATCTTATATATTATATAACCCCCAAAAATGCCGCCCTGGTCGGTCGCCCCCTAGCCCCCCCCCCCCCCGTTCGCTGTTGACCCGGAATCTCAATATTTGTGTAAATAGTCTAGAACAGTAGTCTGCAAATCGCGGCCCGCCCGCATGCGGCTCTTTAGCGACCTGTCTCGGCCAGTCGGCCACAAATCGGTTTTGACTCCGAAAAACTTGGTTCTTAATATGTTCTTGAGAAGAAATTTGGCTTTCAAAATTTTTTTAATGGTCCTGCGGCTGATTTTTGGCTCTTTTGACAAAGGCTCCGACCACTGGTTTTAGAAAGTCTTTGAACATAAAAATATAAAACACGACATTCGCATCATAGAATGGACAACACAACTAACTTAGCCTTCCAGTCTCGACATTGTCTTTGTTGATCATTCAGATTTCAATTTCGTCATCAATTTAACATATCCCGCCTTCGTTCGTATTTGGCTTCAAGATTTTAACCACGTATATTTTTGGTGTGCCTTGAGCCTAAATCGGGGATCCATTAAAATTGTACGGATGAATTTCTTGGATGAGGTACAGAAAAATCTTTTGTTTCCGAAGACAT